TTTATTTTGTTTGCTTTTTTAACTTAAGGTGACATATTTCTCTTCATTACTAGACATTCTTGGGATTTTCTCCTTTCATGTCTCGCCGCCACAGCAGCAGAAGAGACGCCATTCTGTTTTTATAACCCATCTTGGTGGTATTTTTGTGCTAAAATACAGACTCCTGGAGTAATTTAAGGAGCTGAGCCATGATACTGCACAATGAACAGCAGCAAGGAATTAGATATGTCAGATGTTAACATATAAGGCCCCCCCCCCCTTTGTTACCAGTTAAAATAGTAAGGCACTGGCACATGAGTAGACAGGTCAGTATAACAGAATAGAATGTTAGAAAGAGATTAAAGCCTATATGGGTCTTTAGTAAGTTATTAAAGAGTTATTTTAAACCAGTGGGAAAATGAAGATTGTTCGAAGCATGATGCTGAGGCCACAGGGTGAACATGTGAAAGAAATTAGGTTGGCGTCTTCTCTTCGACCCTAACGCCCAAATAAATCCCAGGTAGAGCAGGGATGTAAGTCTAAAATGTGAAACCCTAAATATATTAGAAGAAAATGTGACATTGTTTTATAGTCTTCAAGTGAAGGGACTTCTCGGTTATGATGCAAGAGTAGAAGCCATTTAAAGAATGATACATTTGATTTCTGCACAGCACAAAACAGGGCACGCGCAGTCTGAAGATGGGTAAGCTCGGGAAACCGTCATCCAGCTACAAAGCACAGGCTTGCTGCCCCATAGGGAAAGGCCTGACCAGCAGTGCAGCAACAGGACAGGTCAAGTTTATGCAGGAGGAACTGCAAACGTCTTTTAAAACGACAAACCGTTTTTAAAATGTCATTATTTTGTTCCTGGGATATAGACACTGCAATTGATTTTTGTGCGTTGAATGCTTCAGTTCTAATTCATTTATCTGTAGAGTCCTTGACTCTCCATAATCTGCGACTACAGACCGTTTTTGTTGCTTGCTCTCACTTTGTTATGCTTTTTATTCCTTTACCCCTCTGACTGCTTGTGGAGGCCCTGGCGCATGGCAGATGGCGTGGGCAAAGATGGGGTCCTCCTCCTCCTCCTCTCATTTCCGCTTCCCACCTTGGTGCCCCTTCCTGCTGCCTCGTTCACTTGGCTTCCGGTCTCCTCTGGTGGAGTGTTCTGAGGCGCTGGTGCCTCTTGTGTGTCACCGCCCCCCTCGTGGGGCTGGCTCTTCTGCGCTGAGTGTGGTCTCTGCGCGTGGCTTCAGTGCTGAGTGAGAAGGGTGTCTGAGGACGGAGTTCCGGGGTTATGCTGTCTATCAGACCAGTCTGTCTGGACTTTTTTTTTCATGAATCTGAATTTGTTTGTACGCTTTTCACTCGTTCCATCCAGCACTTCTGTTGTGATGGGGTCGCTGTGGTAGCAGGGCACCATGGAGTGCTTCGGGACCAGCTAGTGGAGGCTGCGGATCCGGTGGGTTGTTTCCTTGAGGCTTTCTGGGCGGGGTCTTCACTCTGCTCCTGACAGAAAGAGACCAGTAGCTGTAACTTAAATGGCCTTCACAAGCTTTCAAGACCCCACTTGCCACTCACCCAAGTAGTATGGACAGCAGTGGCCTCCACCTTCCTCATGCCACCACCCTTCCAGACAGTTCTTCGTGTGGTGGTGTCATTACTGTCAGTTCACTACTGTTAAGAATTGGGCGACCCCTGTGAAAAGGTCGTACAACCTCCTAGGGTGTCGCGACCCACAGGTTGAGAACCGCTGGTTTAGAACATTGTCCTTAGATGGACTGTGTTTTGCCAGTTGACCCCCTAAAACTGGTTCCTTCTCTCAAGAGTTTTGATCATGAATGGATATTGGATTTTATAAAAGGCTTTCCTAAAATCAGCTGAAATGAATTGGATTTATTTCCTCTGGTATGTGAATTAGAAGAACAGCACTAAATGATGTACTTGTATTAAATCAGTTACATTACTTAGGGTGAGACCAGCTGCTCATGACCAAAGAGCCTCCATGACGGCCATCTCTCGCTCACTAACGGTGCTGTGCAGGTGAACGAGTAGGTCTGTCTAGGGGGTTCCTGAGAAACTCGGCTGGTGGAGGTTGCTGGCCTCACCCCTTGACTTCCAAAGACTCTACAGCAGCGGTTCTCCACCTTCCTGACGCTGCGACCCTTTCATCCAGTTCCTCATGTGTGGTGACCCCCAACCATAACATTATTTTCACTGCTGCTTCGTCACTGTCATTTTGCTACTGTGATGAATTGTAACGTACATATCTGATATGCAGGATGTATTTTCATTGTTACAAGTTGAACATATACTTGTGCATAAGCCGCATATTTAGCACATTTTTTTTT